GAGGCCTTTGAATTGTGGTGCTGGAGGAGACTCCTGCGAGTCCCTTGTACCGCAAGGCGATCAAACCGGTCAATCCTAGAGGAGATCAACCCTGACTGCTCTTTAGAAGGCCAGATAGTGAAGATGAAACTCAAATACTTTGGCCACCTAATGAGAAGGAAGGACTCCCTGGAGAAGAGCCTAATGCTGGGAACAATAGGCGAAAGAAGAAGGGGATGGCAGAGGATGAGGGGGCTGGATGGAGTTACGGAACCAGTTGGTGTGAGCTTGGGTGGACTCCGGGGGATGGTGGAGGACAGGAAGGCCTGGAGGATTGTTGTTCATGGGGTCGCGATGGGTCGGACACGACTTCGTGACTAACAACAACAGGTACATATGGGAAAAGGTAGTCCTTCAGATATCCCAGTCCCAAACCGTGTAGGCCTTTGAATGTCAAAACAAGCACTTTAAATTGGGCCTGGTCCTCAACTGGTAGCCAATGTAGGTGGTACAAAATTGGTGTGAGTGCATGGGCTAGATTTTGTCAGCACCAATGCAGCCCTATTTTGAACGAGTTGAAGTTTCCGGACCATCTTCAAAGGCAACCTCACACAGAGGGCATTACAACAGTCCAGCTGGGAAGTTGCCAGGGCATGGGTAACTGTGTCCAGGCTCTGTCTGTCCAAGCTGGTATATCGGCCGCAGCTAAAGGAAGGCTCTCCTGGCCATTGAGTCTACCTGAGACTCAGTTCTAGGACCAGAAGCACCCCCAAGCTATGAACCTTGTCCTTTAGGGAGAATGCAGTTGGAGCCCTCCCTACCTGTCAGATGATCTACCTACCAATACTACATCTTTTCTGGACTGAGCTTCAGCTTACTGGCCCTCATCCAGTCCATTACCAAGCCCAGGCACTGGTCATTAAGGCTTCGTAGAGTTGTGCATGGGAACAAGAGTTACTAGAACATTGTTTTGCTACAGGATGAACTCTGCTTCCCCTGGCTTTGCTCCTCAAAGGGTTGCACATACAGAGTTCAAATGTTATTCTTATACTTAACTGTATAAGAATTCACCAGCTGAGCAGTTTTAGAGAAATAGAACCATTCACTTGAAATTTGCAAGGCATTTCCTAATCTCTTGTTGAGCCCCTCTGCACAAAATATATCTCCAAATCCACTCATAAATCATACGAATGCAAACCAACACTGTCACAGAGATAGTGGGAAAGCACTCCTAAGCATCCATGGGCTGAGGTCAGTAAACTGCTTCTCAGCCCATGCTGAAGTGACTCTGTCAGGTGCAGATGTCACAGTAAGCCACCCCGAGAATAAGTCACCCTAGCCTACCCTACTAGCCACGGAGTCTCACAGCAGCTTGCTTACGAAAGCACACTAATGGAAAAGATGTTCCAGGTTCGGATGTCATGCTAAGCCTCCCCACAACCAGCCATGGTGACAGCCCACTGTGGCTTACCATGATGTGCAAACCAGGTCAGTCTGTGGGTGGGTGGGGTGAGGAGAGATTTTTATTTTTGTTTACAGTTTCCACTAATTGCAATCAAGGGGAAGAGGGATTCATCGGGTACAGCACAGTTGAAGGCTCTGATCCTGAGACACCCCACTTTTGGGCAGGCTTTGAATCCACAGAATTCAAACTCATCTGTGCACCCCTCCCCACACATTCTGGATTGCAGGTCTTTTTGCGAGTTACTGCCAGCAGGTACATCACCATTACTAGCTTTCCATGGACAGTCCTGGACCATCAGGGAAGACAAAGTTCCCTGCTAGGAGGAGGACACCTTCACCTCACTCTATGTGTCTCCTAGTCAGTGGATCTATTAGGATCGATCCATGACAGGTGCTGCACTTACCTAATCTTAGAAGTATGTTGGACACTTCTGCTAACTTGCCACCAGGAACAGGTGCACTGTGCTCAGGTTTGTTCCAACCTATTCCAGCCCGAATCAGCCTGGAGTGGATGTAGTCTCTGCAGAGCACCTTGGCCTGAGATACAAGTTCTTTGTCAGTGGGAGTCCGATCAAACACCTCCATCACTTCTGCAGCAAAGACGGAAGAGCGGCGCAGTACCTCCATCTTCATCACCTCATCTGAAGTGTACAGAGTGGAGCACTCATTGGGAATTCCCTTGAAGGACACCTTGCGAGGAAATCTTCAGTCAGATAGCATTTCACTGTGATCCTAATTCACAGTAGCCCCTGCACAAATGATCTTTTGAGGTACCTAGTTGATTTAAAAAAAAATCAAGAAATCTGTGAATAAAGCAGGGACAATAGCCTGAAATAGCTTGGAACTCATTAAGCGATACGAACTGAATATTCTTTTCCCCATTAGATTATCCAGTGTAGGACCCACCAAACAAAATATTTTAGAAGTATTAGTGTCTAGAATATTGTTCTTTCATTATTTAAAATATTTGAAAAATAAAATATTAAAAAGGAACAAAATGTCCAGCCTTCCAAACCACAGCAGTTGATCTTGACCTCAGTAATTAACACTGTTTTGTGCCAGAAACTGATCTACAGTACAATCCAATGCATATTTATTCAAAGTAAATCCCCCTGTGCTCAATGGGGCTTACTTCCAAGTAAGATAGGATTGCAACTTTACTGGCTTTTGTAAAAACAGACAAACACCCCAGAACACCCCTGCAGTCTTCAGGATTCCGGTAAGAATTCTATATAAGACATATATAGACTACATTAGTCTAATTCAGTTTTCCCCAGATTCATTAGTTTTTTTAAAAAATCAACAGTACTGGAAGACCAACACTCTAGAATATGGAAGTAATGGAACCAGACATTTCCATCCTATTTTATGCAAAACAGGAAAAACACAAATCCCAGTGGCAGTAACATCAGCAAAAATGTGCACACCAGATTCCATTACCCACTCAACCAAAACAAGGCTGTCTGGGAGAGAAGGATCGCAACAGTCAGTCTGCATGGCTTCTTCATAAAAATAGGAACAGCTGTGCCAGATGTCATCCTCAAGGGGACACAGGAATCCAAAAGACTGTTTTCTTGGCACAATACAGACAATGAATCCTTGGCCATTTTCTAAAGTAATTATTGTTCACATTTATAGTATCTCTGAGATACTATAAATGCATCAATTTAAAATGTTACTTTTTTAAAAGAAACAGAGTACTGCAAGTTATGTCTGTTGTGATTTCTATAGGGACCTAGCACTGATCCTTGAATTAGTACACATCTCAAGCATTCCTAGCAGAGTAATATAGGGAATAGGTTGAAAATCCCAATTTAACATAGAAAAAAGCAAAACATCTCAATTCGAGCATCTTCCATTAAAGCATAGAGGAAAATCCCCTTTCTGAGGCCCTGGAGAGCCAGGACAGAGAAACTCGGCCAAGGCAGGCCAAATGCCTGACTTAATGGCAAGTTTAAAACCTGACATGTGAACCAAGCAGCACCGGAGATTTCATGCAGGACAGGGAACAAGTTGGAACTAACCCACGAGTTTCTAGCAGCAAGCTATGTCACGTTACAAGATATCTATGCTGTACAATCTTATTTTTCTAGTTAATCTGATATTGAAAAATTCTTTCTCAGTTCCTAGCAGGACAAGCAGTGCAAACCCGTTCATACCAAAAATTACCTTAGCAATGCATACCTACACTTACGCACGAACGCCTAAAATGAGGGTCATAAGTTACATTATAGGGCTGCCCAATAGCTACTTGTATCTGATTTCGGCAGAAACCCTGGGTAACCAACCAAACAACTTTTTCTTTGAGGCGTTGGGAGCTCCGAGACGGAGGGTTACACGTGGACGAGCCCATCGTTTGGACCAGCCAAAAAAAATCCGTAAAGGAGGCGAGGCGAGGCGAGGCGAGGCCAGGCTATCCAGGCTTCCCCTGGAAGTCCCCCACAAATCCGTGGGGCCAACGAGGTACTCAGAGCAATCCTGCCCCTCTGCTGCAAACACGGCGAGGAGGGAGCAGACGGCCGGTTCAAGCCGTCGGAGTTTCCAGCTCTTTACCTGCCGAGGGCATGCCCATCACACAGAAGGGCGCTGCAGCCGGCGCCCCGCGCACGGCGCCCCGCTTCCCCGCGGCGGAGCAGCCCGGCGCTTCTGCAGCCCTCGCGGCGCCGGGGGGACCAGGGCCTTTCGCTCTGCCCGGCAAGGCGCGCTCAGCCGCGCCTGACTCCCGCGCCGCCGTCCCGCTCTCTCCTGCAGGCGGTTCTCGCCCCGCTCGCCTTCGGAAAGAGGAACGCGGCTTGCTGTAGCCTTGTAAGGAAAGTGGATTCGCGAGGAGGAGGAGGAGGAGGAGGAGGAGGAGGAGTGCATCCAGTTCGGAAGAGCCCTCCCGCCCCTTTCCCCGCGCTCTTAAGGAGGAGCCACGTGAGCCGAACGGCGTTGTGGCTGCATAGTTTGGTATGGTTCCGCGTCCAGCTTCGGAGAAGTATTGTCTAGCAGGATGCCTGGGCATGCGGACCGGCATCTCTGAGCCTTCGAGCAGATCTGTAAAATGGAAACAACAGTAGCCTACCTCACAGGGTTGGGGCATCCTTGAAAACATACTGAAATGGTTCCCACGCTCCTTTCCCACAATTTAAGGGTTAGGGTTAATCCCATTTGACCTTAGTCCCTCCACCTTTCTCTACTCAGCGAGCTGTTCCTGAAGTCTTCATGGGCTTTTGCTGCCCCCCCCCCCACATGCTTTGGAAGATGAAGTGACCCCACCCACACATACACAATGTTAATTGTGATTCATTTTATTTATCCATACCCCACCTTTCAGGGTTTCTATCTTCCAAAGGTAGCTTATGGGTAAACTTAAAAACACGCTTATAACATCACAATAATATTTTTAAAATAACAAGGAAGTTAGTGGTAATGCTCTGAAGGAGAAGGGAAGAGAAAGTTCAGCCTTACTTGGTTGCTATCAGCTTACCGTTCCCTTCTCAACTGTGGTTGTTTTGTGTTCAGATTCTGACTGAGCATTAGTCACAGCATTTATCAGGGCATATTTTGTGATACAATTATTTTTTAAATTTGTAAGTTTGTTAAAACTCATGGGCCAAGAAAAGGGGAATAAACTGGCAAACAAATGAGGTGATAACAAGGCTTTCAAGTTTTGGCTTCCTATTGCAAAACTACAGGGAGTCAGAAAAGTAGAAAAGCAATCAAGAAGAGGCTCAATGTTTCTTTCCTTTTTGTGAATGGGGTACTTACCTAGCAACTCAAACTATAGATAGTTTGCCTTTCTTGAAAATTCAAAGTTGTATTTCAGCCTGTTGGAGATCTTCTTTTAAACCTCAACATGCCATATAAGACAAATCTATACAGACAGACGGCATTCTGTCAGCAGACGGAATACAACAGCATTCAATGAAGCTCCTAGGTAACTGTGCAAAGGACAGTGGTCGTCTGATCCTGACTAATTTGGTATTGTGGTATATAATGCTGCTCTGTGTGTGCAAGTGTGTGAATGCTTTCTGAACAATACTTTTATTATGCTGTTTCATTCATGGATTTATGGAGGCCCTGATGTTGTTGTCTCCATTCATAATCCTCCCATGTGTTTCCTGCACTTCTCCTGTTTATTATCTTACCACAGAAAATTAATTAAGCATGGAAGTTTAGAGAAAATAAAAGCCCTACAACTTCCAGTGTGCCGCAGCCAGTATCCCCTCATAGGACTTTGTTCTGTCTAAACAAAACACAGGATTGCACTCAAAGGAAGTAAAAAACATGGAACTAGCTGCATAGTGCTTTCTGCATGGAAACACTTGTCATGAAAACCTCCTGCAGTTTAAAATTCATCATGTCCTCACTGTAAGGTTCTATGATCAATTGGGGGAAATATCTAATGGCTGTTTTGACACTTTGGAAGGCTGGAGAAAAAAAAATGAAGCAGGAAGTGCTCCCAAGAATTTAAGGAAAACTTGTTGGTGAAAAAGTATAAGGTGGCTGCCACCAAATGGAAAAATCTGAATACATTTTTTCCTTTCAAAATTCTTAGAAAGGTGTTTTTGATGTCACAAAATCTGTGTTGTGGTTACAGAATCTCCTTGTGTCATCTGACTTCTAAAAGGGTTTATTTTGAACATGTAGGTTTCTTTTATAAAAACATTAGTTTTTGTTTTTAAACAATGGTGACTTAATGTACACAGTTGCTCTCGCTTAGTAGCCAGTGTCCACACCAGTGCTAAAAGGAATTCCTGGAGGGTTAGACAAGAGGGTTAGGGAATGTGGTGAAGATGACAGAAGTGCCTATCCCATATATAATATTTGCATGTCTTGTTAGGTTAGGTAAAGGAAGACAGAATTCTGGAAAATCATCAGATGATGTCACTTCACCATGGGAACCTTTCTTCAGTAGGGGTGGGACAGAATAGAGTTAGAACTCCACTCATCCTGTACCATGGTCCCAAACGCATCTCCACACCAACTATTTGCACTCAAAGGGAAATTTGTTCATATGAATTTGTTCAAATTTGTTCTATATCATAGAATATTGCATAGTAGAGTTGGAAAGGGCCAGAAGGCAATCAGATCTAACCTCTTGCTATTGCAGGACACTAAGTTATGCCATCTCTTATACTGAATAAAAATATATTAGTACTAGACATGCCCTGTGCAAATACATACCATGCCATAACAATTTGTCTTTTCTCAGATACAGTAGATAAAGTCACTCAGCAGAATCCTAGACAATTCTACTCCAGCATAAATCATACAAAGTTTGTTTGGATTTTCTCCTAAGTAACTGTGTATGGTGTAGGATTGCAGCCAGAAATTTTTAAAATAAAGCTGCAGAACTGTTCCAGGGACTGGTGAATGGGAGGTAGATTTGTTGCATCATATGCCTCTGCCAACAGCTTCCCTCCAAAGCTAGAATTTTTTGCTCAAATTCCATCACAGTAAGGATACAAGCCTATGACCCCGCACATTATTTGAGGGTCCATAGCATACTGGGGGCAAGGGGGGTTACTTCAAGGCCCTAAACCGGGTTACCATGTCTGTGGCTCTGTGGTGGCTCTCCTTCTGAGGTTAGTGGCACAACCAGATAAGGACAGGAAGAGGTAAAGCGAGGCTTGCCAGGTTGTGTGTCGAGAGGAGTAAGGAGAGGCCAGGATCTTCTTTATCCTGTGGCTTGTCCAGCTCTGGGCCAAGTTCCATTCCCACCAGAGTGACTCTGCTCAGTGGAATCAGATGCCTGTGGAGGTGGAACATTTTGAAAAAGAGGACTTCATTTCCATCATTTCTCCTGGAAGATGGAATTGCTGTACAAGAAATCCTAACTGGAAGCAGGACCAACCCTCTGTCTGGAAGTATCCAAAAGTCCTCAGCACTGGATTGTGTTTGGTCGCTCCAAGGAGAAATAATTATATTTACAGGCAGGAAAATCTGCCTCTGCCAGATCTGCACCAATATGGTATTGACACTTTATTATTCATTATTCATTCTTACAAATGAATTCAAGATCTATAATGTGTTTCTTGGCCTCCAGCTGCCATGGAAGGCTGGTCAAACAGTTGTCAAGCAGCACACTCATTCTAAGCAGGCCAATAATAAACTTGAGATGACATTTGTCATTGTTGTCACCATGTGGAACAACAAGATAGGTACAAGAAGCCCCTTATCATGAAATGCCACAAAGGACTTGATGGACATAATCTCTTTGCCATTGACATGGCAAAACAATGGTGATTGCTTTTGGTTCGCTATTAAAAACACTTTTTATGTAAAGTGACATGCTACAGAATGGGACAAAACCATACAAAGAAGGCAGAAAAACTGAAAAGAAAAGAATGGTCAGCTCTGCCTCTCTGTATTCACAAGAATGAAGATCTGTCTGTCCCAGATCCTAGGAAATAGCTTGTGTCATTCTCATCAGAATCCTTTGCTGCACACAGGCAGGGGTCTCAAACTCGCGGCCCGCGGGCCAATTGCCGGGACGGGCGGGGCACGGGGGAGGGGCCCTGTGGCCTTCAAAGCGCCGGCGGCACCCGGGCCGGCCGCAGGATGAGCGGCCTACACCACCGCGGTGGTGGAATACTTGATGCAGCCCAGCCTCACCCACAATCCACTTCCAGCGGCCCCCAGGTAAGTTGAGTTTGAGACCCCTGCTCTAAAGGCTGTGGGTGATGGCAGAAGGCAGCCATGGAAAATTATGTGTGTTGGGTTACTAAGAATCAGGAGCCTAGACTGGCAGCTGATTCAAATCTTACTAATCAATTAGACTTCAAAAATTAGGAACCATTAGGAAAGTAGAGAGTATGGACACAGGAATCACTTCTGCCTTTCAGATCTCACTGAAAAAGCATGTTGGTAAACATGATCCTGGCATGATTCTGATGATTGGAACGTGTTTAGAATGGGCAGAAATGATGAGCAGGGTAGAAAAAACACTACTCAAGGAAGACTTTTTCAAAATTGCCCCTCTTAATTGAGCTTTAGCCATATATTAGAGTTAGGGGTCTGCACCAGGCTAGGGTTAGGGTTAGGAAGACTTGGTTCCCTGGCATGATTTTGATGGTTGGAATGTGTTTAGAATGGGCAGAAAGGATGAGATGTGCAGAAAATGCTGCCCAAGGAAGGCTTTTTCAAAATCGCCCCTCTTAATGGAGCTTTACCCATTTATTAGGGTTAGGGGTCTGCACCAGGCTAGGGTTAGGGTTAGGAAGACTTGGTTCCCTGGCATGATTTTGATGGTTGGAATGTGTTTAGAATGGGCAGAAAGGATGAGCAGTGAAGAAAAAGGTACTCAAGGAAGGGTTTTTCAAAATCGCCCCTTTCAGTAGTATTTTACCCCTATACTAAGGCCAGGGGAGTGCACCAGGGTAGGGTTAGAGTTACAAAAACGAGGTGTCCTGGCATGATTTTGATGGTTGGAATGTGTTTAGAATGGGCAGAAAGGATGAGCAGTGAAGAAAAGGTACTCAAGGAAGGCTTTTTCAAAATCGCCCCTTTCAGTAGTATTTTACCCCTATACTAAGGCCAGGGGAGTGCACCAGGGTAGGGTTAGGGTTAGGAAGACTTGATTCCCTGGCATGATTTTGATGGTTGGAATATGTTTAGAATGGGCAGAAAG